CCTCATAAGCAACGCTCAAAGTCCAACAACTCTAAGATCATCTCAAAAATACTTAAGGATAGTTTCTGTCTCCTATATCAGCAGCACACTCCCTCACACATCATGCCCCTGCCCTTACCTACCACTTTGTCTAGTACATCAGTAACTGTGGCAGTCAGAGGACTAGATCTACCCTGCAGCTCGTTTTGAAGATGCTCTAATGCAGGCTGGGAAGATCTTCTCAAGTCCTCATCTACACTTCTAAACACAACTTCTTTTAGGCCGAGAGCAAGCTCTATACTATTCTGACAGAAAGGCCACCTTGCAAGATTCTTCCTTCCCTCATTAGGTATTCTTTTATTTGAAAGGTTAAGGTGCCTCTTTAAGAAGAACTGGAAGGAAGAGAAAGAAGGCCAGCAAATCAACCTGCAAAGTTCACAAAGCCCCTCCAAGCAGCAAGATCCAAACTTGAAGCACCAGTCCTGACAGCGACCCAAAGCTGTGAATCACTGCACCAGCACAACAGCAGCCCTTCCTGGTAAACGTTCTGTGTGTGATTTTTTCTATCTATGGTCCAGCCTCGAGTGTAACAGATATATACCCAAAAGTGGCAGCTCAGGGCTAGGCTAGAGGTTGCTTTGAGCACTGTGTGTGTACATTTTTCTCTCCTCTAGTCCACACTGGGAGCACATTGCTGTTACTACAACAGCATCCACTATCATGCCAGACTGTCTTGAGGAGCTTGACAGCAGGTGCCCAGCTGGCCTACTTGTGCTAATCATCTGCAATCTTCCTTTTCCCCACAGCTTCAGCCCCCTTTAAGTTCCGCTCAGGAAAAAGTAAAAACAAACACACAGACAAAAAAAACCATTGCCACCTTCCAAAAGCAGAACACCACTCCAGTTGAGTAGCAGACCTTGTACAAGCTGAGAACATAGAAGATAAGTCAGCGTACAAACAGGCAGCTCATAACACATCAGGAGAAATAGTCCACAGAAGTATCTCATGCACCTGCTTCGAGCAAAAAATCAAACACATTTCAGATCAGTTTAAACCACTTTGACATCATTTTTGAGGTGTTCTCACAGAGAGAACCAGCCAGTACATAGTCCGGGAGTGAGACAACACCAAATGAAGTGTATGGGGACATGTGCCACCTTGCCCTCTGTAGCAGGCCAGCAGTATGACACAGGGTCAGAGGAAACAAAGGCTGGAGCAAGAGAGGCTGTGCAGCACCAAGATAATTTTGAACACAAATAAAGCCCATTCCTGTCAGACTTTCCCCTGAAGACGCTTGCCTACTGGCTGCAAACTGTGCCAAGTAGCTGTCCAAAAATGGAGCAGCCGGTTGCACCAGTCCCTGCTGACTGGAAGTAAGGGGCAGTGAGCACCAGCCACAGCCAACTAAGATAACTCCTGAAAAACAAGGTGATGTCAGACCAGCACAAAACTGATGCCAGCCAGCAAGGTGCCCTGGCAGCAGCCACTCTAGCACAGGATTATGCAAGACTCAGATGCCTCAGTATGACAGAACAAGAGGCTCCATTGGGAGGAACACGCTGTACCTGAAAGCTAAAGGACAGGTGGTGCTCGGACACCTGAGCTGCAGCAGTGCTGCTCCAGCACTCCTGTGCTTCTCTCCTTGTCAGGTTAAACAAGGGATAGCACGCTTTTTTTTGCAGCGCATGGACAATACCACCCCACAGCACCAAGGCACTGGTGTGCACCACAGTCCATCAGATAAGTCCAAAGGACACGTAGCCTCCTCTGTGCTTGCTGATAGCTTTAAGAAGTCTCACTTTCAGAGAAGAATGAGCAAAACCAACTAGAATAAAGAGGACTCCTCACTGTTAGGATTCCTCTCTATTTCCCACTCTAGGAGCAGAAGATGCAGCAACAGTTTAAAAGACATTAAGCACAGACTGGGAAAATTCTTACTGAACATGCAGACATAGGTCCATTATCTAAGAGATTTGGGTTCAATTCCCACTGAGAATACTGAGCATTATTTCAATATCTATTATATAAACAATATACTGATAACCAACTGGGTGGGATCTTATTCAACATAAGTTATAAATAAAAATAACTAGAAGAAAAGGACTTTGGACTCCTCACTTGCAGCTCAGCTAGCTCTTCTCCAAAGATATCTGGCATAAAGATATGTGTATTATACATCCACTATAGGGAAAAAACAGTCTGAAAGCTCCAATCACCATGGGAAAGCTGTAATTGCCAAGGTTAAAATGGCAGATTCTTACAACATTTGTAAAGCAATGGAAGCCACAAGCTGCCTCAAGGCGAATGGCCACACCCTACGCTCTCCTTTGGTTAGAAAATAGGAAGAAGATTTTGAAGAAATAAGCCTGTGGCAGGTCTGCCAGGAAGCAGCAGTGGGATTTACAGGACAGAAGCAATTGGATCCACCATTTGGAGCTCAGCAGCCTCTGCAGGTAAGGTGTGAGGCTTCCACAGATGTTGAGTAGGGACAAGTTGGCCCAAGTATCACAAGATAAACATGGAGTTTAATTTTTTGGACTCCCCATTTCTCTTCTCCAGCAACCAAGTGCCGGCTCCAGAATATGAGCAGCATCATGCTGCTGTCAGAGAGCAGAGGTATCCACATCCAGACACTACACCATACAAGTCTTCATCTCCTCTGCACCACACAGCCAGAAAAAGCCCTGCCTCAACTACCACGCCTGAACTCTCTTTTCTCTTGGCAATTAAGAATGAGAGCAAGTCCATTAGCGACGCTGAATCATTTCAAGGGAATTTCACAAGTGTGATACCTCACACCCAGTTTTAAATTCAAAATTTTAAAGAAATGCTTATTACATAGCTCAGTTTAATTCAAACTTAGAACCTATGCAGCTTATTTCCATTGTCAGTGATAAGTCTCCATTTTGTCAAAAGGAAATTCTGTCTGCAGTTGATAAAGAAACACTGGTCTTCAAAGTATATCCCAAATATTTAACTACACTCTCATGCTTCCACAGACACATAACAGCACAAAAAACTTGTGCACATCAATCCAGAATATCTTCTAACAGAGAATCAGGCTGTAATTAAGACATATCATGACATAAGGAAGATTAGCATGTTTGGCATGATAGTTTCCTTATAAGCTGGAGGCAGAAACAAGTTCCTTGTCAGTGGAAACATACTGTGAGGGCATTAGGACACAGATAAAAGGTGTCTCGTTGCTGGCATTCATTAGTTTTTAACAGCTTGAAGGAAAGGGAGGAGCACAGGGTATCAACTGTAATTGCTTTTAAGGGTATCCCTTGTTGATGGAACACAAATATACAGCAGTCCAGATATAGGCCCACCCCCTTACCATCAAGAGCCTGGATTATAAACTTTTATCCCTACTCTGCAGCACCAGATGGTAGCTCACATACATTTCAATTATTTATTGAATAGGCACTTTGTTATACCAGGGTAATCCCACACTGCAGTAAGAACTACACACTGTTTTTATTGCGAGCTATACTTTTCATCAAGTCAGTAACCTTTTCACATTCAGTGAACACAATAAATAGAATTAAAAGAAGCGATTTTATAAACAATTGGATAATCGGCCTCTCCATCACATAGAAAATGACAACGCGGGGATCAATCAGTGAGACACAACCACCAGCAGTGCTATAGAAAAAGCACATCATTCTCTGGCCTGCCCCAAATCCTTTCCTCAACTTCAGTGCTCAAAGTACCTTTGCAGTCTGATCTATCACACTTAACAGTTTGCTGGTGTTCAAGCCATTGGCTTAAAAAGAAAACACCCTGAATGCACTTCGCAGAAGATGCACAAAGCTCCCACGACAAAACAAATAATCAATGTTCCCCGGGCTGCAGCCTTGGGGGGCAGATGTGATAAAGTGGTTAATTATTCAGTTGGCAATCGCATTACTGACGTCAATAGAAGAGTCCAGGAAGTGAATCCTCTTAGTTTGTTAGTGTATGACAAAGAGTGGTGGTCCCCACAGAAATTAAAGAGAACCAGCTGTCCCTTCATGGTAGTGCTCTGGTCTGTAGTGCTGAAGACGCACATTTGCATTTACTGAAGTAAATCTGCCCCTCCCTCTCCCTTAGGAAACCCTTTGTTTTCTTGGTTAGTTTTTGTTGTTTTGGCGGCTTTTTTTAAGAGTGGTCTTTTAAGGCCTAATTAACTGTACATGCATGAAACAGCTGATAAACGGGACAATGTACTCGTGAGCAATGATGTCTCCTCCCTCCCCTTCAATTCTCATTTCCATAGAGAAGTTAAGTCACCTTCATCATGCATTATTATTCATAACTTACTCAGCTGAATAAACCAGTCAGCCACCATGGCCGCTTTAACATAAATTCATTTAGACTTGCAGCAGGGAAGGATTTCTGCTCTCCACATACCTGCAGTCAATAGCCTCTAACTAAACAACACTGGATAGGAAACTTTTATCCTAAGTGTTACCAAAAGTATCCACATTTTCTTTTGTCAGCGCTCTCCGGACTACGGGAGGTCTCTCATTATCAGGCTGCTTAGGTCTTATAAAGGCCGCCTAGAAACGCTCTGTCCTTCGCGGGCATACCCAAATTACAAAAAAGACTGCATGATGAACGGGAGCTGTTGTTTCTTCAAGACATACACATACACACCCTCTCCAAAGCAACGACCCGGCACCAGAGCAGCATTTCAAAGCCTGAGCCTGCTGTACTCCCCTCCTCCCCTCCCCCAGGTAGGAAACCCTCCGAGGAGCGCCGGATTAGCCTGACATTTCGGGCTAAGCCAAGCAGGGTTTCAGGCCAAGGACACTCCGGTGCTCTTCCTGCCGCCGGCTGCCAAGCGGTTCGCCTGGGACCGAGGGAGGAGACCTGCGGGGTCAAGGCCCGGCTGGCGGCGGGGGTGTTCCCCAGGGAGGCGCCGCATCCAGGGGCGGCGTCTCCGGCCGCCGCCGGGAGCAAGGAGCACCGTGCGGGGCCGGGCCGCCCCCGGCCCCTCGCAGCCCCCGGCCCCGGCCCCAGCCCCCCGGGCTCACCCCACTCGAGGAAGTCGGACACGTATCGGTCGCGGCGGAGCGGCGAGTCGCGGCTGCACTCGGCGTAGACGCCGACCAGGAGGTCGAGCAGAGTCTCCACGCTCAGCACGCTGTCGTGCCGCTGCGGCCCGTCCAGCACCAGCTGTTCCAGCCGCTTCAGCCGCACCTTGGCCGACATGGTGCCGCTGGGGCGGCGGGCGCGGGGCGCGGGCGGGACGGGGCTGGGGCGAAGGCCCCGGGGCTCAGCCGCGCTCGGCAGCCCCGCGCCGCCTCCCGCGGCCGAGCGGCTCCTTCCGCGGGCTCCGCCTCAGGCGCGGACGGTCCATGGGCCGGGCCCGGCCACCCCCTACCCCGCTGCGCTGCGGCCTCGCCCCGGCAGCGGCAGGGAAGGGAAGGGAAGGGCCGATCCCACTCCCGCCGCTCCTCCCCCGGCCCGGCGCGGCCCTCGGAGCGGCCCCGGCCACGCCCCCCGCGCGGCGCCCGCGCGCTCCGACGTGGGCGGGGCCGCGCAGGAAGGTTGGGCCGAGCGGGGACCCGTAGCGGCAGATTCGCCGCGGAGCGGGCGGGGGGCGGCGCGTGCGGAGCGTCCGCAGCAGCAGTTTCGTGTGTCCCGCTCTGTGTGTGCGTGCGTGTGTGTGCGTGCGTGTGTGTGCGTGTGAGTGTGTGAGTGTGTGTGTGTGTGTGTGAGTGTGTGAGATCTCCTTCGGGAGGGCCTCTGATGTGAGACGTTGGTGTACTTTCGAGTCTGAGAAAGGAGATCTAATCAGTGGAACAGCATCCCTTACTCAAGGACATGGGTGGAGCTCACAAGCTTTAGGGATGCAGTAAATCGAGATGTTGGTGTGTGTCTATGTTTACAGAATCACGTAATGGGTCAGGTTGGAAGGGACCTCAGTGCATCGTCTGCTCCACCCTCCCTTGCTCAAGCAGGGTCATCCCAAAGAATATGGCACAGGGTTGCATCCAAATGGTTATTGAATATCAGCAGTGAGGGAGAGTCCACACCCTCTTTGGTCAACCTGTTCCAGTGCTGGGTCACTGCACAGTAAAGTAGTTCTTCCTCGTGTTCAGGTGGAACTTCCTGTGCATCAGATTTTGCCCATTGCCTCTTGTCCTATTGCTCAGCATCATTGAGGAGAGCCTGGCTCCATCCTCCCGGCACCCACCCTCCAAATACTTATAGGCAGTGATGAGGTCCCCTCTAGGCTGTCTCTACTCAAAGCTGAACAGCCCCAGCTCCCTGAGCCTTTCTCGTAAAAGAAATACGCCAGCCCCTCAACCATCTTTGTTGCCCTCCACTGATCCCACACCGGGAGCTCCATGTCTCTCTATACATTGCTAACTTGGCAAAATACTTAAGGTCCATGTATCCTACAGCTGAACTATCTTAATTATAATACTAAAAATCACACCTACATGTAAAAAAGACCCCTGCCCAGGTGAAGACCCTCCCTCTGAACATGCACAGAAGTTAGCTGGGCTTATTTAACTTGTATGGAAATTACTAACAAATCCTAATAGAGGGGTTGTATTTGGAAAGTTACTAACTCTGAATTTCTGTGTATAAATAATAGGCGGACAGTCTGGTGGCAGGTGCCTGATTTGTGCAATACCACTGGGCACCCAAGCTTGTGCAACTGTGAAATAAATAATCAATGTCTCTCCTGAGTGTGCAATTGCTGGCTTGCTGCACACCAGGTGACGAATCACATTTTCTGGACAACTTGTGTGTCCCAGCCTGGCTCTCCTGGCTCTGTGTGTGTGTGTGTGTGTGTGTGTGTGCCCCAGCCTGTGCCATCCTGGCAGGGCTCCAGGGCAAAGTCCCCTCTACCCAGGTCCACACCTGGCTTCCCACAAAGGATGAGACTGACCCCGGAGGACTTCACTGGGCACTATGGGCACTGGGAGACTTCTCTGGCTGGAGTGAGACCTTCTGTTTCCCAGCCTTGGCCATGATTCCCTGCTCTGTGGCTGGGCTTGCCTTGGTGGCAACAGATGCGGGGCTGGCAGGGTAGACATGGCCTCACAGCAGGACATGGTGTCTGGAAGCTGTGGCTTTCTATGGCTTTCAGAACCTCCCTGGTGATAGGGCTTTATTTCCCAGCAGCAGCAGCTTGCCTGGGCAAAGAGAGCCCTATGTGGTAACAGCTGTTGTCCTCGTTCCCTTGAAGAGAAGGGACCTGGGTGTAAGGCACTCAAAACTTTCTGCAGTGCTGCTTTTTTTCTTTTTCATCACAACTTATTCTGAGAACTCTTCTCTGTGGAGCCTGCAGCACCTCAAGGCAAGATGCTGAGTAGCTTGGGATGGGAGTTTACTTCTGTAGGAATGCAGCTAGTCAGGTCCTGATGCAAAGCTGAACTGGCAAGGATGCCATTTCCTTGCTTGTCTCCCCCGGCAAGTAGTTGGAGTGCTGTGTGCTCAAAACCATCACACCGGAAAGAGAGGCAGCCAAGTGCTGGTTCTGTCAGGGCTGGGAACCCCCTGCCTCTGGCAGCAGGAGCTGGACGAGGGTTTGCACCATGGTGGCTGCAGTTGCCAGGGCTCCTTCATAGTCAGATGTGACATGTCAGTCATTGCTGAAAGACCTGAACGTTCTCATCCATCACCTTCAGGGCCAATGGCGAGGCCAAACCCAACCAGTGCTGCACACAGGGAGCTGCCCTTTTCAAAGGGTCAGGAGCATAACCAGGTAGAGATAGATGGATTATTGTGTAGCAGAAAGTATTACTTCCAATGTGACAGAGAGGTCCAGCTGATGATTACAGAAATACTTGTTGCCAGGTATGTTTGATATCTCTTTGACATCAAACACTTGTTATATCTGAGACCTATTCAATTCATAATAATACTGTGCTGTGCATTTGGACCCAGTACCTGGGTCTAGAAGACACAGGCATGTTAGGACCTGTTCATTCTAAAAAATGCAAGTCGATAAAAGATCCTGTGAATCATACTTTTATACTGAGAACCTGTAATTTTAAAACAAAGAGAAACCACCGTGGACTAAAATAGTTTTGTTTTTCCTGAATAACTTCTATCTCTTTGTACTTCCTTCTGAAAACATCCACTTGGAAAAAAAACCCCAAAACATTTCACAGCAGATCTTCGTTGTTCTCTCTCTGTGTTCCTCCTTGGTTACAATTGTTTCACCTGACCTCAAACTGTGTCATATCACAGATACATTCATTTACAGGATCCTTGGCATTTTAACAGTCACAATTGTTTTTCTGGTGCTGTTCCTTTATTTAAAAGAAGACCTTAACATTTTCTGCTTATTCCCGCTTTGGAGACTCATTTTCCGGCAGTTGATCAGAGTAATGGCTGGGGAGAACAGAGTTTTAAAGATCCTGTTACAATATCTATCTTTCCCCTTCTTATCTGTTCTTACAAGGTGTTGATTATCACCTCCCTCAGCAAGAAAGAGATAAAGGAGGCAGCAACTGGGTGAAGAAATAGCCATTCCTGCCCACCAATTGCTCTATTGTTTCCAGTCTCCTCAGTCTGTTTTACATTAGTAGAATTCAGGGGTTTTCAGGAGCTATTCTTGACTTACACCAGTCAGAGGGAAGAGCCGGGTCCAGTGCCGGGAAAACGACAGATGGGTGACAGATGATATTGAAGCCGGCTTTAACAGCTATGGAAGGTTTAGTACATCAGACCAGCACGTGCAGGATTATTTATGAGCAAAACTGTAGGTATTCCAGAATGAGTTGAAATTTCATTTAAAGAAACCTTGCAAAGGGTTAAGAGCCTTGTGCATTGTAAATAATGCCGGGTGTTCACAGCAAGGGTTTCAACTACAAAAAAACATACCGACCTGAAAAGTTGGTAGACATTTGGTATTCCTACTAGGAAATATATGCAAGCTTGGAAATGTAGCTGAAGGTATTCTGCTTCTGTTACTCATCTGTGCCAATTCCATAGACTAAAAATAAATGTGATCTGGCTAAAATGAACCAAATGATCCATCTTACCAGTTCCTTTTTTCCTGTGGCATATTTTAGTGGAAAATTATTTTTTAAAATTCTATCTCTCTTTTTTTAAATTAATTAATTTATTTTTTAATGAGTGGATGGGTTCTCACTTGTTTATCTGGAATTATTATAGACCTGCAGAACTGAATGCACAAAGTCCATATGGCTACTGAAAAGTTTTTTTGAATCCAATCAACTTAGGTCTCTTTATTATTTTTTCTTTTTTGTTGTTGTTGTTTTGGCTGTTCTCCCAGTAACTTAGTAACTAGAAGAGGGAGAAATTCTGTTACAGAATTCTGATGGCAACAGGAAATAGCTGTGTCACCGCTTTATGACTTCAGGAAAATCCACCCACCGATCACTTTGGAATTGAGGAGAATGAAGAAATACAAAGAGTATGGACAGAAATTGCAAACACAGCTCATTAACAAGGAATACCCCATGCTAAAAATAAAAAGAAAAAAAGTGAAGATGTTGCAAATATCTCCTTTGTCCCATTCAGACAGATAATTCTAGAAAAAGAGAAAAAACCCATCAAGTTGCAATATTTTATTTGCTTTTTGTTTTAATTGTTTTTACATTAGTGAGCAAAGGGGAGACTCTAAAGAGCTAGAAAACCTAGCTAGAAGACCTAAATATATTCTACTAATTAACAAAATTAGATGAATATTTTAACTGAGAGAGAAGATGACTAATGTGCATCAAGGGAGCATTTCAAGGATCCAGAATGCAAAATATAATTAAATTGAAATCAGAGAAAGCTCATAGTAATAACTTCCAAAGGTAGAATATAACAAAAAGTTAAATATGCCTAAAAACAACATGACTGTTTTGTTATCAAGGACTTTCCTTCCTGGAATTATTTTTTAGGAAACTGTCACCTTTGCAGCTCTGTTTGTATTTGGCAATATTCTAAAAGATTCTTTCTTGCCAAAAGCAGTGTAAATCTACAGCTGTCATCCATACTGGGAGCCAAAAATAATCCATCAGTCGGGGCTGTCTTTGATGACGTTGCATCATGTAAGCCTGAGCATTGAGCTAATGCACTCAATATTAAAAACAACAGCTAAGTCACCACTAGCATGATATTAGCTGTGGTGGGAAGCACACAGAAAATTTCTCGAAGAAGACAAGGTCTCTGCTCTGTTGGTGATCAATGCTGGAATTTTACTTCAGCTTCCACAGAGCTCTGTCTGCTTCAGCTCACTGGTAATGCACTAGATGAGTAAGGCAGTTTCACAAATGCTCTTGCCTTTGCACATGATGATGAGTGAAGTGGGAGGAAAGAAAGGGCAGTTGTTCACGGGAAAGTGCTGGGAAGGGCTAAGAGTCTGATTATGTCCAATTTTCAGTAAAATGCTTTCTCATAACAATAATTA